CTCCTAGATTAAACAACTAATTTTGAGTACCCTTCCAAAAAGGTGGGAGTATTACATAGTACAAACATTTTTATTTATATATTTGCAGCTATAGGAGATAGGGCTGTATTAAATTGCAGTCTTAACATGGACTGAAAACGTTTTCATTACTTTTTCCTGCAGGAATCAAAATTAAGTTATTCATAATATGATATTCAAACAAGCGATGCCTGAGCAAGTCTATGTTTCCAGAGGCAAAATTCAATTTAACTGGTAGGTAGCTGTCATTCAGCATCTTCAAAATGAATTTATTTCTACTGGCTCAATAAGTAGATTAAGTGCAATTTTAAATTTTTTATTGAAATTGAAAAACACATAAGCCAAAAAAGCAACAGAACCAGCACTACTGACAACACAAAATAGACCCTGTTTATAAATAGTTTTAGTGGGATTCAACATTCAAAATCTACTCCAAATTTGAAGATTATTTTTTAATGACTCTAAATTCCTAGTCATCCCTCTTCCCATATACATAACACAGGAATCACAGTGCTGCCTCTTTTCCTTCAGGGTCTTTCATGTTTAGAGGCTGAAACTAATCAGAAAAGGTAACTGACAAATCTGGGAAGCAATGGCTGCCTAAGGATCAATGCTTACTGGTGTTTACTTGATAAAAACTTCAGTCCTACTGTACCTACTCATGCATAATTTTGTGCTGTGTCTAGAGGATGAGCTCTGTAGGAGACGACATGTATGTAGTTCTGTCATTACCAGTAGCTTGGGAAGAAATGGATTAACTAAAAGTCATCATTTGTATACAGGGTGTCTTTGGGGATTTCAAGCAATAGGTTGGATTGTGGTATATGCTGCTAATTCACAAGTCGTATCTGTATACATGTTAGCATTACAGCATTAGGTACTACACCAAGTAAACAGTGCAAAAAATTCTCAGTGGCATCATTTCCACAGCAAACGTTTCGAAAAGAAATGTCATTTAGAATATATTTACAAAGATGGAACACAAGCAATTACGCTGAATGGTTTGATTGAATTTACCTAGCATACTCTTGAAAATATTTTACCTCCCCTGTAAACATTTCTTCTAACACTTATGAGAACAAGGTCAACTGAAAGTAGGTAAACGGTAGAGATGGACTTGAGTGTAACTAAATCTTTTCAGGGGGTGGGAGGAAGTTTAGCATAGAAAATATGTTTCTGAAGGTGGAAAACTTTGAGAAAGAATTTTGCAAATTGCATAAGGGCTTTGTAAGATTGAACCAAAGGTTCGTATTCACCTCCCTGACTACAGAAATACAATCTCTACAGCAAAATCAAATCCTTCTTCTTGTAAGGGCTGAAAAAGTAATTCTTAGATTGCAAGAGAAATCGTCAAGTTGGTGATCTCCTATTAGTGGTGAATGATTGCACATTTATACTTCAATTCTGGTGACATCTGATAAAATGCTAAGATAGAACTATTCCACAGAATTAATCTACATGACTGGCACTACCCTAAACATTCTGTTTGCCTTAACTAAAGTTGCCACAGCAGCACTGCAAAGCTGTGCTACAGTTGTGTTCTCACTTGTTCAATTACTTGGGATATCTAATGTTACTCTTTTCTTGCAGTGAACTGCCAGATAACCAGTCAGACCTTTGGATACATGAAGGATGGGATGCATATGGGGAAGGTTAACTATGAGCATGCACTGGCAGACTGCTAGCACTTCATTTTAAAACAACAAAAAAAGGGTTGTTAGCCTTAAAGACAAAAGAAATTGGCTATAGCAACTCTCCCTGACTAGTTCACATTTGGGATGCCACAAAACATATGTGTGAGGGAAAAGGGGAGTTGTGAGCATCCAAGAGATAATTCAAGGAACCTGCAGAAGAGACAAACACACAGGCAAGTCTATACTGAATATGGCAGCAAGCAGGTACCAGGTGAGCCTGCACTCTTCCCTTCAGAAGGACATATTATTTGTAACATACATATGTTTATACAAATGAGAAATAAAGAATCATGTTTAGTATTTTATGACACTGGAATGACACGTCCCATGACTTTTGCTTGGAGAAAAACTAATGACAGATCTGGCTTTCAAGGTGCATAGAAATCAAGTGGTTTACACCATTACTTAAAAGCATGTAGAGCGGAAGTCCACCATCTTAGAGTGCTTTTCTTAAAGCTGCCACTCAGCGTTTTATATTAATATGGCATCTCATTCATTTTGAAGGACATGAACTTCATTTTGCCTGACTTGTTGCCCGTCAAGGAAATTCAGTGACTTGTTACTCCTACTTTTTCTTAAAGACAGCTACAAACTAGAAGTATTAATTGTTTTGACTTATTTATAAGTCTTATCTCATACTTTATTATCCTGCAAATGCTTTTCTCGGGCTAAAGCATGGAAGTTACAAGTGAGTTAATGTTTCGTGAATTCATTCAGTTGTCTATTCTACTTACACTTGGAAGCGAGAACCAACTTTCCAGGGCTTCTTCAACAGTCAAAGAAAAGCCTGTGTACAGCATTTCATAAATGTGTAACAGGACTTTCAATGCTGGGAGATGTAAGTCTCCCTTCATGGAGACTTTTAATAACAAGACAGACAGAATGCTATTACATCATCTCTACCAAGTTGATCAGAAACTCCTAGGCCAGAAAGCCTATAAAGGGAAGCAAGAAACACCGACAGCTTCCAAAAAAGGGACCTATTTCTTGGAAGGAAATTGGGAAAATGAAGGAGAAGAAAAAAGCAAAAAAAAAAAAAAAAAAAAAAGAGGCAGGGGGAAAAGAGAAGCAGTATGTAGCATCCAGAAGACAAAAGGCAATGATGTAAAGCATTTTAAGATTGACCAGACTGATATTTTCAGGGAAAGAATTTGATAACACCCCACGTTTCATCATTTACTATTAGGCAACATTTTTGCTTTTGTTAATTCAAGAAACCTAAAATTCAAAGGCACAAAAAATAAGCAATAAAAGGGATGCTTCCTATTTTTACCCTTTTAACCACCCCACCCCCCCCTGCTGGCATCATTTGAATTTATTACACTTGTGGGTAGAACCTGTCCATTGAAAACTGACCTGTACGACTAATATTAAAACAGTGGCTCATGCAGTTTTCCAGAATACAGTCTTGATGTTTTATTTGCAAACATACTAAAGAGCCAATACATTGTCCAGACATGGAGATACCCTCTTGCACCTAATAAATTCAAACACAAGACACAGCTCATGCTTCTATTTCAATACAACTAAATTTGTAACAGTTCTTTTCTCCAGGAGGCTAACAAGGTCTTTCAGACTATACCCACTACCTATTTTTCCTTTGCTTTCAAAGATCCTCTTCAGCAGACTGAATATTCTCACACTAGCTCCATCTTATCTCCAGCCCAGAACCTACTACTGTCTAATTGCGCCAAATAGGGCTGCCCATTTTTGTTACGACTGTTCAAAAATATAACAGATAAGCTTTTACATTAGTAAACTGACAATATGAAGGCTTGCCAGTGACATGGAGGAGAAGACAGAACACACTTTTTATTCATGAGGGCTGCAGATGACAACCAACTGGGGAAGGGGGCAGCTGACACTCAAGAGCAAGGCTGCCACCAGGAGGGACGCAGACAGTCTGGAGGAAGCAGCCTCGTGAAATACAGTCAGGACAAATGCCAAATGCCAAGCCCTGTCCCAGCAAGGCAGCGCCCTGGAGCCGTGAGGCTAGGGCTGGGAAACAGCTCTGGGGGGTTGGCCCTGGGCATGGGAGGGCAGCGAGCTGAGCCATGGCCACTCATGTGCCTAGGCAACAGCAAGGGCCAGCAGTGCCTAGAGTATCACGAGCAGGTCACAGCCCTGAGAGCCAGTAGCAGGTAGGGACTGTACCCTCTGCTTGGTGCTTGTCAGACCACACCTGGGCACTGCCTCCAGCTTGGGTCCCCAACACAGAAACACCACCAACAAAATGGTGGGACATGAAGGGAGGCCACTGAGACAGGGGGCTGGAGCCCTTGCTCTGCAAGGCGAGGCTGTAGGACCAGGGCTGGTTCAGCCAGTAGAAGGGACGCTTTTGGGGGCACCCAACAGCATCCCTGGCACTACGGGAAGGGATGGAGAAGACACAGTCAGGCTCTCCACAGTGGTGTGTGGCAGGAGGGCGAGAGGCAGCAGCACAAGCTGACACATGGGAGGCTCAGGCTGGAGATAAGGAGAAGCCTTTTCCCCAGGAGGACAGCCCAGCAGTGGAGCCAGGGCCTGGGGAGAGTGGGCACTCTCTGGCCTTGGGCATTTCACACTCCAACTGGGTGAAGTCCTGAGCAGCCCAGTCTGACCCCATGGCTGAGCCTCTGGTGGACCCTGCCAGCCTGAACGATGCCACCATTGCGTGAAACACAGCAGAACAGTTTCCAGTTATGGACAAAGTGTAAACTGAAAGGTTTGGCCCTCTCCTCTCTCCAAAAGGGCAAACTTCCTTTGGGCTTTTTCATATCAATTAACTCTACCAACATGTAAAGAAGTCTTGGCAAATTTTCTGGTCCAGACTGTGTAACATATTGTATAAATTTAAGTAGGTTTATTTATACTTACAGCTTCTAACTTGCTCTACCTTACAACTACTGAATTGATTCTGCTTAACACAGAACCATTTATCTTTAAATGGGAGACACTTTATCTTCGTATTACTTCCTCCCATCACAGCAGCCCTCCTGTATTTCATCTCTGGAAAGTCAAGCAAGCAATGCTTCATGTGTAAGGTCTAAGTTCCGCTTTTGCAGAAGTAAACATGAAACGCTTATTTGTGAAGACAGATATCTAATCGTGTATTTAAGGTAGGAATATGCTCATTTGCTCACCCATTCTACTTAAAGACAAGAAGCACTGAGCTCTTATCTGAAGTTAATCACAAAACCACTTCATTTTATTTCACTGTCAGGTCAATCTTTATTATGCTAATCATGCATCTGCAATAAGTAGCAACATCTTTATTGTGATGGCTTTTGACATGGGTGCAGGACTCACCCCTCCTGCCTTTAGCAGCTTCCTTCTGAACTCCTCTGTCGGGTTGTTGAATGTGAGCTTTTCACAGCGGAGGTGATTTACAGGTGGGTGGCCTTCAAGGTGCAGGAATAAGTCATAGTCAAATCGAACTTTCTTAGGTTCTTCCTGAGGGTTGAAAATAACCAGACAGAAACATCTAGCACCAAAACCAACTAAGTTGAAAACAAGGCCTACATAAAGACTGTCAATTAAAATGAAAATTATGTCATTTTTAACCATTCTCTGTGTTCTATGACACATGATGGGATTTTTACCAAGTGTCAGCTGAGCTACAATAAATTAGAGAAGCGCCTATCAGCCCATGATAACACATGGTAAAATGCATGAACTTCACAAACTTCCAAGTTGTCTTGACGATGCTTAATTGAAATTGTTACGTCATGTTAGACACAGGCTACAGACATACCCATAGGCAAGCATCGTGATTCAGCTGACACAAGGTAACTCAGTCACCAACACAATCACACTGCTGAGCCCTAGATAGTACTGAAGACACTGCAGTAAGTTTTGAATGCAAATTCCTCCAAAGCCAAACACTATTGTTTTCTTCACGAGTTGTAGAAAGGGGTAAGAATGAATCTGCTGCAGCCAACTATATTTGATCTCCTATGTATGGGGTCTGCTCATTTATTAATGAAACTTTATTGCCTTGAACGAGTGTGGCCAGCTAGAATTCAAGTGTTTCACCACAGCTTCCAAGCCACTAAAATTTTCTCTCACTGCACTGAAAAAAAATGAAACTGAATGTTCCCTGTACCAATATGGAGAGAGAAAGAACACGAAAGGCGAATTTATCTTGGAAGAAATCATCAGTGCTCTACTGTCCTGAGAAAGCCTCAGCTGAAAAAGGACACTAGTGGCATTGAATAGACTTCAGTTTGTAATACCAGAGAAAAGATACTAAGTATGTGTTGTGTCCCTTCTAAAAGCTGTAAGTTAAGTGCTCTTTTAAGGCAATATCAAGTAGCCCTTCCTCCAAAGGTCCTGATGTGCAACAGAAGCCACCAAACCAATGTCAGTCAAAGCAGAACACAAGTAAAAGGTCAAATTAATGAAAAGCTTTAGTAAAAAGGGAATCATGAGGGAAGAGGAGGATGAAACACAGCAAAATCTTAGCACATATCCAACGCTGCATGTAAACAAAATGTATGCTCTGTTCAGTGATAGATGTTTAAAAAATTCACATTAAAAAATGTTTAGTTTTGATTCGGGATTCCAAGGATGTGAAGAACAGAAAGTGTAGAAATGTCAGTTATTCTAAAAGTTAAATCTGTTTCAAACACAACCAAGGGGACATTCTTGTCATCCCATCTCTAGACGTGGAGCAGAGACAACAGAAGGCGACCTGAAATAAAAGGCTTGCACTAGTCTCTTTCTGAAGACAGAAGAGAGTAGTTCGCTTAGATGAACTATTTTCTTGACGGACGATTTTCAAAGGCAACCGTGGATGATGATATTTCTTATTGTTAGAAAGATTAACACATGATTTCTTGTAGAAAAAAATGGAAGTGATTTACTCCCCAGTCTGCTTAGAAAACTGTGATGTTGCTACAAGCAAACAGTTGGTACCAGCAGCTCTGTAATACACCAAGGACTCCCAGTACCGCCTATCATTATTTTAAAACAGTGTGACAGTGAAGGCAGAATATACTGCAGTTTATGAGCCTTGTCCTAAATGGACTGCACTTTCCAGAGTAGGAGTCTTCTGATCTAAAAGCATTTTTTCAAGGGCTTTGTCTCAATGGCTAAGAACTATAGCCTGCTGCTACTGAATTGGGGGGCGGGGGGGCACATTGTTTGTCATTTCCCTAAATCTTTAAAGAAAATATTCTTTGGAATATTTTCTGTTAGGCTGAAATGCCTATTAGATTTTCTATCAATTTCTGCTTAGTCCTGGAAACAGATATCCTTTAAGTCTCCATGGTCCAGGTGGCTTCCTGTACCTCTGCCTTCTCTATTCATTAGGGTACTTTCTGAACCAGAAATGGAAAAGTTGTCTACCTTGAATAAGTGATGATGGTTTGTCTCCTCTTCCTCCTTCTGTCTATCTCCTCTTTTTCTGTACTGGAATACCTGTGAAGTGGCTTAGGGGAGGAAGAGTAGCTGAGCCAGGAGAAAGCAGCAATTTGCCTCACGAATGCCAGCTCAATTTTTGTGCCACTTTTCCTTTGTATTGTACCAACCCCAGGGAAGGGCATGCTGATGCAGCTGTGTGAAGAGCTAGCTGACTCACAGTCCAACTGCTGCTTGTCGTATTCCATGACACCAAAATAGGGGTGAGGGATGTTTACAAACTTCCTAATTCCACATGCTGCTTGAGGGTGAGGTGAGTTGTAATCATTGCTGCCCTCTTGATCTCAGTCTAAGCCACAACTCTTGCTGGAGAACTCCTGAGACTTGCAGGTCTCCACAGTCAGCAAAGGCAGCCAAAAGTCTGAGTGGAAAACAAAAAAAGAAATGTCGGGCAGGAAGCTTTCTGTAGAGATGCTTCAATGATCAACTCACTGTCTGTCTTCTGACTTTGTCTCCCCAGTTTTGGGGTGAGCTCTTAACAGAGGAGTTATAGAGAATGGGCTGCTTTTCATTAGATTTCCTGAATGAATCAAAACTGCTTCCCTAATGAAAACAGAGCTAAAAAGCATAGCAAAAAGCCAGACAATTCACTGAGGCAGTTCTGTTTTCTCTTCCAACAGCAAACAGAGTAGACTAAGCCCTGCTCTTCAGATTGATACAGGGAACATTTCAGAATTACCTGTTCAAAACCTACAACTTAGAAAGTGCCTGAGCAGAATTAACCACACCTCACACCTTGCCAGAACTTTCTAAGACAGACAAAAGAACACTGGAATATCTATTTCAAGGCATACACAGCTAAGAAAGTTGTACTCTAAAACAAATTTTAAGTGACCAGGGTTCCAGCAGAAGTCTTTTAATATGCATTTCTATTTTCTTTCAGTTTTAGCTTTTCACTAACCATTCACATTAAAGATGTAACGCTGACTTGATTAAAACAATTATGTCAAACTATATCTGGGTAATATACAATAAACACAGAGGTATCTTAGAAGTGCATGCGAAGTACAGTAATAGCTCCACCGAGGCACATGACAGAAAAGGAACTAAAATATTGCAGTTTTAAAGGTACTGTACATCAAACCATGCAAGCTTTTTGCTCTTTAATTCCACCCAAATCCAATTCTTTTGATCTGAATAAGTTATATAGACCCTGTTATGTACATTAAAGGAAAGCTCTATATTTGCTATCTAAGAGACCCACAGTAAGTACAGCATTTAGACTCAGAATTTGAAATACCACAATAATGCAACCTTTGTAGAATGGCACTGGGTTTGTTTTTAAACTGTGCCCCATGTTAATGTTGAGTTGTTTCAAAATTCACATGCAGTCTAAAAGAATGTTTTTTTCAGATTGAGGATACAGGATTAAGAAGAAAAAAAAAAACTGTTTTGAAAGATCAAAATCTGAACAAATTAAAAAGATAGGTAATATTAAAATGGAACAATGTATTCATTAGGAAATCAACATAATCAAGATGTTTAAGTGACTCTTGAACTTCTTTAAGCATTATTTAAAATCTGTCCACTTCTGAATAGGGCTAGTAATTCTTCTGAACAATTACATTCAACTTCTTTATTTTATCTGGTAATCCTAATTTCACAGACTTACCTACTAAATACAATTATGCATTTCTAAAAGTTACAGTGACTTTGAATTGAGGAACAGCACTGACAAACATAGCTTTAAACCTAATTTTTAACTGAGTTTGTGAGTTAAGCTGTAAATTTTTAAAAAACCCTGACTTCCACATGATTTTTCTTTTTTTTTAAGTGAAAAGTATGTGATTCCATACCTTGTTTTTGAAGTAAACCTCAATTGGTAAAATGAAACCAGCATACCCGGATTCTTCAACTTTGTAAGGTGGATCCTTGCACACTGAAATAAAGAAAAAAATCTCTATTTAACACATAAAAAAAGATGTTTTAAATGCACAAGCAAAACACATGAGCAAATAATCGGTGACAATAGTTCTATGGCAACACCATCAGAAACCTGCACACACAGAGCAGAACGTATCTGCGCACAACTCAACATGAATTTTGCAAGTAAATCGTTCCTGCTTGTATACAACCTACAGTTTAGGGATAGCAAATTTTTTTTTCTTTTTTTTTTTTTTTTTCTTTTTCGATCCTTTCACACTGCTAAAGCAGAACTACCAGGGACTTCAACACCAGGTGGACCCACTGAGTCCCCACAACGGCTACATCGGCACTGCAGCCAAGGCTTGTTCTGGGAACAGAAAATACATAGGATTCCACCCTGAGAAAATTAAAACATGTAGAGGGCAGAAGAATTGCAATTCATGTATTCATAACCTAACACTAATAAAATCCTGATTCTAATAAATTTAAAATAAATAGCTTAACTTAATTAGGACTAATGTTAATTAATAAAATTGAAATCTGTAGTACTGGGGGGAGAGGGGACACAACACAACACTCCAGTACACAGTGGAGAACCCCAGGAAGGTTAACTGCTGTATTCTGTTAAAACAGCATCCAGGTTTACCCTATGGGATTCATACTTCTTTAACATGACAATGAGCATTATTAGCTCAAATATACAATCTTTTCCTTCAAGTTTTTAATGTAATGCAAGGACTTTTAGTTACATGAAATCGCCATAGTATTGAACATGAGCTTTCTGAAGAATGTGGCACTAGCTTGCCAACTCCAGACAGTGACAAAGAGAACTTGGAACAGAAGCTGATATCTATAAAGTACAATCTTCCACTTTACAGGGACAAAAATGTGTTAAGGCTAGTGCTTAGGCAGTGTTTAATTTAGGGTTAAATACACTATCTTGCTTTGCTAACAACTATACCTTTGAAGAAGAGCTGAAAGACTGATAAAAAGCATGCTTTGCTAACTACTATCCTTGAAGGAGAGCTGAAAAATGGATAAAAAGGAAACGTCCTGCCCCAGAAGGTGCCGAGAGCTGGGTGACGGCCAGAGAGGCCTGAAGTCAACAAGAGAAAGGTGGCTGGGGGCATTCATGAACACCCACCCAATTAAAGTACTATGCAAATTATCCCCACACATACCCTTAAGGAGCATGTGTGCTAATTTATATATGCTTGAGCAATAGTAGATGATGCAGTAATTAATAATCAATTAGCATAAATTTAGGCAGGTTTTTCAAATCCTGTAACAAGATAAATATGTGGTAGATTCTGTGTGTAGTGTGCTAGCTTTGTGGAATTACCACCTGGCACCTATCTCTGCACAGATATGAAATAAATAAAACACCTCTGCTCTGTGTGTAGAGTGGCGTACTGCACACTGGGTAAACGATCCCGCTTTTGGACAACAAAGCCACCTCTTCCTTCTCCGGTTTGGCTGTGTGACAACCTCATCGCAGAATTCATACCCACATAACACACAAGCACAAAGGTAGGCTGAGCTTGAGAAACCACACGTCTTCTGCAGCATCAACTCAGATGCTTCCAAACGCTGCATTGATATGCATGACAACTCATGTCATATGCACTACCATCTCAATGAGATCATAGGACCGTAACAGTTTCTCTACTGCGGACTGGTAGAATGATGCAATTCATACACAAAGGGTTGACTTCTTCAGAAACATTTAATCAAGCTCTGTCAATCTTGCTGACCAAAAGAAAACTCAGACTCCCAGATGGATCATCGTTTGCTAAGATGCATGCTCTTTTCAGAATTGCCTGGCAGCTGCTCACTGCATGGTACTGAGTGCAACTTAAAACTATACTTTACAAAAAGTGTGTTGTGCAGGGCCTGAATACCAAAAATATTCTTTTTCGCAAAGCACCACAGATGACCACTTACCACTCTTTATTACGTGGTCTGTCACATACATCCAGGAATATAACGGCTGCTACATTCTCAATAGTGTGATCAGCATGTCAGCTTTCTACGGACATGCAAGCTTGGTTAATCCCCAAGTAAATGAACACAGCAGACTTTTCTCCTACTCCCTTGCCATTCTCCTCCTGCTCTGTTAGCACCAAACCCATGCGAGGACTTCAAGGATGAGGAAGATTCCAAGTCCTTGCTCACCTACTGGAGCTGGCTATCACTACCCAGTTCACTTCACACAATCAAATGAAAGGGAAAAAGATGACAAAAATGGAGCAAGAATAATCTCTTTTCCAGACTCTTAAGCAACACTGTCCTCTGGCAGCTACAGAATTTAGTTTGTTTTTCTTGGCAGGAAAAAAGAGGACCTATAGTTTATAAAGTGGGATTTGAAAGATTTTTGAAGCAAAGTGTTAAGATGATAGGTCAAATCTGAGAGTTGGTTTCAGACATACAAAGCTTTTAAGTTGGAAATTGAGCATTTTGTGTTAGAACCTCCCAGAAGTAGTATTTCACCTTACATTGACATGTCTTCCCTTGAGAGGGCTTACCAGCATTTGCAAAATGTAAATACAATAGTCCTAGTTAAGCACAGTGACAGGTTACAGTAATACATACTGACAACTTTTTCAGTCAAAGATAAAGGAGCCTTCCTGGTCCTCATCTGCCTTCAGAAGATAACTTGAGGAAAAAGCCTTCCCAGTATTATTTGAATGGCTATGCAGGGTTCAGAAGACTGAAATCCACTCATATAAAAACAGGGAAAGATTATACAGCAGATATGTATCCAGATAGAAACACGGAAACTTTAGAAACTGTAATATATTAACTGTTGCAGAGATTTCAGGCTCCATTATGTGACAAGTCACAAATTACCTTTTTTTTCTTTTAAATAAACAGCACATCAACTTCTTCCGGAGCGCTTAATTGGTGCAGAAAACAGTGTCAGCATAAATATTTTTCATTCTCCCCCTCAAATCTCTCTTCTTTCAGGTTTACACAGCTGTTAGCTATGCTGAATAGTACCTTGTCAAAGTTTCACATTACAGTTCTGAAAACAAAGTCTGTTACACTTGCAGGCTTTGTTGAACTTGGGTGATGGGTTACAAAACACTTAATCACAAGGAAACGACTTTGGGTGCCTTCCCAAACTGAAAGATGGGCTTCTAATAGAAGGAAAATGCTACAATCTCATGAATGAAACCTTCCTAAAAAAAAAAGAAGCAACTGACAAAGCAAAGCTCCATGCTCTTGCGTACCTGTAAACCACATTTAAAATGGACGTTATTACATTTTCCTCGCCTTTCTTGTGGAAGCCACTACTATATGTACTGGCAGAAACAGCACCTTTGTGCACTCTGAACCAGCACCCGCTGGCATATGCTCTTTTTGTTCCATTGAACTGTTTCAAGTAGCAACCAGGGCTGCAATGACAAGTGTGGTTTAGCTGAGCCAACAGGCAACCATCCTAGCAAGGTTTGCTGAGTGGAGAAGAGAGAGATAGCAAGAGTTAGGTAAACAACAGAAAAGGGAGAGAGAGAGAAAGAAAAAAAAAACCCCCCACACCACCAAAAAACCCCTCCCCAAAAATATGAGAGGGAAAAACCACAACCTGTAGTGGAGAAGGAAGAGAGAAACAAAAGCAAATTGCAAGTATAGACCAACAGAGCAAACCCAACAACAGAAACTAGAAAGGAGTGATTTTGAAGAAGGAAGCACCTGGAAACCCTAACATGCTTCTCGAAGCTCATTAAAAAAAGCAGCTACACTAGACCAGGCAGATAAGCAGAAAACACTACCCTTCTACAGACAAACAATTTCCTCCACATCCAGAGGGATGGGGCATTCTTCCCCAATGACTGCTCCTCTCCTGTGAAGCAGCACCTACAAATGCATTTCAAGCACCAGATAAATAAAGCCTCTTGCACAATGTTATCACTAAGACTTAATTATTTTGGTCAGGTTTTTTTCCCTATGGAAACAGCTTGTATGATCACAATGCGTTTCCTCCCTCTCTCCTATTATCTTCTGACTAGGTCCAACTTCAGGACAGTCTCTATGACAATTAAGGCCCAACAGATTCTGACAGATCCAGTGAAATAAGTGCCTGTACTGAGAAGGCAGCTTCAGAGAACATCTTCACTGAGATGCAAGGAGAAGCAGCCAGCAGTATGCAGAATTACAAACCAGTTATAACTCAGTGTCTCTTTTCATGACATCTGTAGGGCCAAGAGAAGTAAAGGGAAAAGCAAAACTATGCAGATTTCTTTAGGCCCCACTGGCCACGGAAGGAGCTCATTTTTTGTTGCCTGTGTAAGGCAAGATAAGGAGTTCATGATACTATATTGTTATGGTGCCTTTGTCAGAATGCAGGATCATTTCTTCCATAAATGAGAACTTTAATCTTAGGTATTTGTAAATGCATTTGCTAAACACAGACAGACCAGCCCCGTAAAGCAATTTTAGGTGCAATTTTGCAACGCAATTATGCAGCTGAAGTTCACCCCTTCCGTTCATCACATTTAATTGTACTTTGAGATGAACATTGCTGCAACAAGTAGTAACATTAGTATGTTTGAGGCCACAAAAGGAAACATACATCAAACAGGGCTCCAACTATACCAAAAGCTGTTCAAATACTGCATAGGAGCTTGAACTTATGTGAAACTAAAAGACTACACAAGCTGTTCAAGGATAGAGGGAAGAGGGGAAGGTGTAGAAACTAGAACAAAAAGGCTCAGGTTCTAGGACAAGAAGTAGTTCTCACAGGTGGAATGCCATTTTTCCATAATGCCGAGGAAGTGTACACGTGTGCAACTGCAGAGGTACTGACTTCCAGTTCTGTACATACCTCAGGTGCTCACCTACAGTATATTGTCACTTAACTTCCCTTGACAGAAGACAATTTACACACTCAGCTGCAATCCTGGCTGTATT